GGACAAGCTCCGGAGACCGGTGACCAGGCTTGCTACAGCCGTAGATCTCCCCTTTGACATATTTATTGACCCACACCATTCAGGCCCAGATCCTACAGCACCAACAACATCGGTGGCACCAACTGGCCAGTCTGAGGAGCCAGACCTTGCTGCCTACACTACCGAAGCAGTGCGTCATATGTTCACCAACCCATCCACACCCAGAGTTGACGATGATGAGATTCAGTTGGATGAGCCTACGGGCGGTGACATTGCTGGGGACATAGATATGTTCAAGGAGCCATATGGAGTTTTCTTCACCCTTTCCTCTCTTTTACTCTTATTTTGTTAAACATTGGGGACAATGCTTATATTTATTCGGGGTGTGGAGTTTATTAATTATATTTGATACATTCTGAGACATTTGGCCTATAATAAGTTGATATTATTTTCTCTTTTCTTATTATGTATATATTCTCTGTCTTTCTCTCATTATATATATTCATTCTATCTTCAGTAGTTTTTGTTTATTAGCTTCTTTATTTTTGTTTCTTTATTAGTTCTTTGTTTGATTTAGTAGCTTTTTTTATGTTTTAGTATATAATAAGCCTTTGGTTTTCTTAATACCACGGTTCTTTCCAAAGGTAGTTGTTGTGTGAACCGGGTGACTCATCCCAACGATTGATGGCGTGACAATCTTCTCAAGGGAATGAGTCTATTTTTGTGTTTAGGTAATAATAGTAGTAGTAATGAATAAAAAGACCTAATTAAGTCATGCTCGAAGAGTCAACCATGCTTCAATTGCTACCATCACACTTAACTATGTGCTTATGGTTAGAGACAAGGATTTTGAAAGAAATAGCTTTAGTTAGTGACTTTGTGACTCTTGTGTTGACTTTGGCAATCATCGAGTGGTTTAATTGGACCATAGTGATCTTTAAACTTGAATGTGGTCATTGTGGGCCCTCGAATCTGTCCTCTTTAGCAATCTGGTTGCGTGAGGGGTGAGATGAATTGTTGCTAGTCCAAGTATCCGTGCGAAGTGTCTAGAACTTGCCCCGAATATGTTTCAAGGCAAAATCCTAAGTTTTTCTTGGTTTTAGAAGTGATTATAGGCTCTCCTTGGCCCATTTGAGTTTTCGATTGCCAACTAATGTCATTATCCCTAGTCAACCCCTTTGAGCATCTAGCCTTTCTCACTTGATAACCATGTTACAAGCCTTTACCCGTTTGGTCGTGACCCTCTCTTGGCACCCGAGCTTTCCTTAAAACTCTGGTGAAACAAATGGCTTAAAAGGTAAGTTTAAGGGAGAGACGAGGAACTTGAAAAAGGTATCAAGGCACAAAAATAGAAAAGAAATGATCTCTATAAAAAGAGAAGGCAAGAAAAGAAAAGAACAAAAAGAAAAATGCAAAAAGTGAATAAGTGGAAGGGTTGGATGGATTCAAAAAGATGTAATGATCCCAAACATGGAGAATCAAAAAGGGAGAAAAAGAATGAAATGATCAAGAAAGAGTGATGTTAAGTCTCTCTAGTCCCCAATGAAAAAACAATGCCTCTAAGAATTGGCAAAGTGTGAGCCGGGAAATGAAAGATGGAGTACTTAAGGAAAGGTGTAACCACTCACCCGTACTATATCCGACCCTAATCTAAAAGCCTTCATTACATCCCGAAAGAAGTCCTACTTGATTTCAAGATGAGTGAGCTTACATTAGTGATGATCTACATGAGGGGCAAGCCTATGGTACTTGAAGTCGTACTTGTGACATTCTCTTGAGAGAGATGAGTGAACCTTTCATAAATCTTTGGATTGAGTGCTAAATTTCTTAAGTGAGCCTGGCAAATGGAAAGCAGATGAGAAAGAGTTTGGAGTCCACCATGACCTACATGATAGAGCAAGAGTCCTTGATGAGAAAAGTCAGTTCTTAAAACTCAAACGTCACATTAGAACTATATGTGCATGAATGTTTAACTTGTCTCCTTTGTGATAATACATGAGTAGTATGGGTAATTGTTGGTCCCAACTGATGTGTGGATGGCTTACCTTTGACTCGCTGAAATGACCCTTAACTTTTGCAGGTAGGAACTAATTTATTTGCTTGAGGACAAGAAAAGATTTAAGTTTGGGGGAGTTGATAAGTGGGGATTTTGAGTGCTTATTGGCATCTTTTAGCTTTTCTTTTAGTCCGAAAGTATTGAATTGTATTCCCGAAACTAATGAAATTGTGCAAAATTGTAGGAATGCTGGAAGTTTGGTCTCTCGAGATGAAATTCGACTGAAAAAGGAGTGTTCCGAAGAACAAGGAAATAAAGGGCGCAAAAGCACAAATATGTGGTCCACATAAGGAATTCTGCGGCCGCAAACCAAGAAGAAAAATTTAGCAAAACTTTCAGCAATGTGCGACCTCAGAACTGGGCTAAGAGTCAAAGATCAGAGAGTATGCAAAAAGACCAAGTCCAGGAGCCTTTATAAATTGCGGACCGCACAATAATTGTGCGGCCGTAGAATATTGCCTCATGACCACTGTCCAGAAATGTGCGGCCGTAGAACTCCACTTTCTGCCAGTAGAAGAAATCTGCGGACCGCACATGAAATTGTACGGCCGCAGAACCTCCCGAGGGGTATTTGTGTCCGAGATTTTTGGCCCTATATAAATAGACGAGTTTCACAAAATTAGGTCAAGTTTGAACATCTAAAGTTGTTATAGCCATTTTTCTTTACTATTTTAGGAAGTTTTATATTATTTTCATGTTTTAACATTAGATTTCATCATTTTAATCTTCCATTATGAGTTTAATTAGCTTCTCTTCTCTATTTTCTGCAATTTTCATTATGAGTAGCTAGACCTTTACTAGGGTTGTGACCCACCCTAGTGTGTAAACCTTATGGGTATCTAATTTAGTGCTTGTTTATGATTGGGTGTTGATTATTTATCTTAGTTGATGCTTCAATTTTAGAATTAATGGTTCCAAATATTGATTCATGCCTATGACTTAGTCTCTACTTGAGAAAGAGAGACCTAGTCTAGGATAACTTAGCTAACAAGGAATTGGGTTAATTATAAAATTGATTAACCTAATTAAAGGGTTCAACCTAGAGATAGTAATAACCTAACTTGAGCTCTTATCAATTGTTTTGGTTGATACCCATTTAGATTTTGAGAAAGACAAATTGGGCAAAATCACTCTCTGACCGAGAGGCATTGAGTGGGTAACATAGAGTTGAGAGCTATAAGACACCCCAATCAACAAAACAAACATTAACGTCTTTATCCCATTAGACAAACACCTAGGTTATGGTCACAACCCTAGACCTTTAATCCAATTGGAAAAACCTCAAAAACATTTATCTAGAATCTATTTTCTTTATCTTGCATTCATTAGAGTAATAGTAGAAATAGAAACCAAAACCTTGTTGTGGAAGTGTAATCTTAGATAACCCATTTGCTTGCTTCAAATATATACTCCTAACTCCCATCATAACTCCTAGTGAATTCCACCCCGACTCCTAGTTAGGTAATAATTATTGCATACGACAGTGTCATATCTCTTATTGAGGTGTGTTGTGGACGTGATCAACTACGGAATCAGTGTTGACCATACCAGAGGTTACGGAAGGGTTTGTGGTATATTGTGATGCTTCAAGATCGAGCTAGGGTATATATTGATGCAACATGGAAAGGGGATCGCTTATGCTTCTAGGAAACTCAAGAATCATGAGAAGAACTATCCAACACATGACTTAGAGCTCGCGACGGTGGTTTTTGCATTGATGATTTGGCGTCATTATTTGTATGGGGTCCATGTGGATATATTCACGGACCATAAGAGCCTTCAATATATTTTCAAGCAGGGGGAATTGAATCTGAGGCAGAGAAGATGGCTTAAGTTACTCAAAGATTATGACATCGATATCCTATATCATCCGAGGAAGGCTAATGTTGTGGCAGATGCTCTTAGACGAAAATCGATGGGTAGTTTGGCTCACTTGGAGGCATATAAAAGGTCGTTGGCCAAAGAGGTTCATCGATTGGCTAGTTTGGGAGTTCGTCTTGAGGACTCTAGTGAAGGAGGGGTGGTTGTGAAAAATAGGGCTGAATCATCGCTTGTTGTGGAACTCAAGGAGAAACAATATGACGATCCATTGTTGATACAATTGAATGAGGGGATTCATAAACATAAGACTATGGCTTTTTCTCTTGTCATGGATGATGGTACGCTAAGGTACCAAGGGCGATTATGTGTTCCAAATGTAGATGGTCTCCGGGAAAGAATCATGACCGAGGCTCACACTTCCAGATATTCTGTGCACCCAGGCTCTATGAAGATGTACCATGATCTTAAGGAAGTCTACTGGTGGAATGATATAATGAGGAATGTAGCAGACTTTATGGCAAGATGTCCCAATCGTCAACAAGTAAAGGCCGAACATCAAAGGCCCGGTGGGTTGGCACATAACATAGAAATTTCGATGTGAAAATGGGAGATGATCAATATGGACTTTGTGGTAGGACTACCTCGCACTCCTCGAAAGTTCGACTCGATTTGGGTGATTGTGGATCGACTCGCGAAATAAGCACACTTCTTACCTGTTAAGGCTACCGACACGGCGAAATAATATGCTCAGTTGTATATCAAGGAAATAATCAAATTACATGGCACTCCAGGTTCTATTATCTCCGATCGAGGAGCACGGTTCACATCTAATTTTTGGAAGAAATTTTAGAAAGGATTGGGTACCCAGGTGAATCTTAGTATAATTGTTCATCCACAGACCGACGGGTAAGCAGAGCGGACCATTCAGACACTTGAGGATATGTTATGCGCTTGTGTTCTTGACTTCAAGGGTAGCTGGGATGATCATTTGCCACTCATAGAATTTGCCTATAACAACAGTTATCATGCTAGCATTCAAATGGCACTGTTAGAGGCTCTATATAGTAGGAGATGTAGATCTCCCATTGGGTGATTCGAGATTGGGAAAGCGGAGTTGATAGGGTCATACCACGTGCATCAGGCTATGGAGAAGGTTAAGGTCATTAAGGAACGGTTAAAAACTGCCCAGAGTCATCAGAAGTCCTATTCGGATGTACGTCGTAGGGGTTTGGAGTTCCAAGAGGATGATTGGGTATTCTTGAAGATTTCCCCTATGAAGGGTATAATGAGGTTTGGTAAAAAGGAAAAATTGAGTCTGAGGTATGTAGGACTGTACAGAATCATTCAGAGGATTGGTCAGGTGGCTTACAGGCTAGAACTACCTTCAGAGATGTCTTTAGTGCACCCGGTGTTTCATGTATCCATGTTGAAAAGGAATTGACTTATGAAGAGATTCCAGTTGCTATTATTGACAGGCAAGTCCAAAAGCTGAGAAACAAAGTGATTGCCTCCGCAAAAGTGCTATGGTGAAACCAACAGGTTGAGGAGGCCACCTGGGAGGGCGAGGAAGAGATGAAGAAGAAGCACCCTCATTTGTTTGAATAATTATGTATTTAGGTAGCAGTGTTCTATGAAAATGTTAAGATTTTACCATCTATGAATTATGTTTCACTTGTACAGTTACTGTTAAGGATGTTTCTTTTGGTAATATAATGATTATGACGTTGTGGTCAGTGTTGTTTCCATAATTGTGTTACATCATTATGCTATGGTTATGCTGTTAGGAGTGGTTTTGGAATTCTCTGGCAAGTGGATAGGCCCAATTACAGGGGGAAACTCTGGCGAAATTTTTGTAAATTCAGAGAGTTAGTCAAATATTTAGAACTGCTGGTATGTGAAGTAACACTTGAGTCACATTAGATACTAATGGTGGATTTTGACCCTCATTCGAGGATGAATGATCCTAAGCGGGGGAGGATGTAAGGCCCCGTAAGAATTTCACCTAAAACACGGGATTTCGTGGTGCCGAGGTAGGTTAATATATTTGAGATTTGTACAAATTCTCAGCGGCGAGCTTGCGAGCCGCGGTAAGGACTTTTTAGATTGAACAGTGCGTTGGGGAGTTGAAAATATTATTGCAGAACAATGCATTTTTTGCGGTCCATTATGCGATCCGCCGCAGAGTGAAGCAGAGAAATGGGTAAATTTTGAAAGTTATTTTGCAGTTAATTATGCGACCGCATAACCGTTTCGCAGGCCGCACATCCGTCGCAGAACCAGCATGAGGAATTTTGGAAGGAGGTTTTGCGGTCCTTTATGCGACTGCAGAATTAGTCTGTGGACCGCAGACCTGTCGCATACCTGCACAGAAGTGCCCAGTTCCGGAGGACCATTATGCGGTCCATTTTGCAGACTGCAGATGTGTTATGTGGTCGCATATGCGACCGCAGATCTACATCGGGGATTCATTTTTCTAATTTTATAACCAGACCCCATTTTGTTTTATTTAGCCATAGGGGTCATTTCTGAGAGGTTATCTGATATTTTAGAGAGAGGAGAGAGCTATTTTAGAGAGAGATAGAAGAGGATTCAAGGATTTCACTACTCAACTTGGATTAAGCCTTGGAATTTCATCAAAAGGAACTTGCTAGGGTTTTTAAAAGGTAAGAATTTCTTCCCCCAATTCTCCAATTTTGAATTCTAGGTTGATTATGGGTAATGAGAGTAGTCATATCACACACATGAGCTAATAGAGAATGTGGGAAGTTGTTGGACAACCTTTGATGGTTTTGTTGTTGAATTGGTTGAGGAAAGGTTGGGTTGTCATTGTAGCAGCTCTTGCCATACGAATTCCTCTAATCGTTCTTGTCATTCTCCCATCTTCTATAGATTGGCATCGTTAGGAGTGTCGGGATGTTATTGTTACACTAAGGAAGGCTTTTTCGAGGTATGAAGGCTAAACTTTTCTTCTAGTATCGGAATTCTCGTATTCTTACAAGACTCCATCGTGTGTAGTTAGAACTTGAAACACTACTGAGGTGGGATATTCAAGCTAATAAATTCATTCTCAAACTGCAAAACGTGTCCAAACCCTCATGTGTTAATGATTTTCTATTTTGACTTAATTATATTATACCCATTTTGGAAAGAAAATTTTGTACGAAATCAATGTGATCAAATTCTTATTTCTCATATGATGAAATCTTATGAACTTATACTTGTTAAGGCCAAAGGTGCCAAATGATTGATTTGAAAAGAAACCTTTTGTACAAACTATTATCATTTTAGGAATCCGAAGTGTGGCATTGTGAATACACCTCCGCCCGCACACATTAGGGTGAGGCAGTGGGGCCGCTTTGTGTAGAGATTGTGATTGTGAATACACCTCCACCCGCACACATTGGGTTGAGGCAGTGGGGCCGTTTTGTATAGAGATTGTGATTATTAATACACATCCACCCGCACACATTAGGGTGAGGCAGTGGGGCCGTTTTGTATAGAGATTGTGATTATTAATACACATCCACCCGCACACATTAGGGTGAGGCGGCGGGGCCGCTTCGTGTAGAGATTGTGGTATTGTGATTACACCTTCACCCGCACGCATTGGGGTGAGGCAGTAGGGCCGCTTTGTGTAGAGTGTTAGAGGTCATATAGAGGATTCCCAACTTGAAATTTATAAATGTTATTAAAAGCTTTAAATTAATTTTTTATGGTTTTTAATGGCCTATTTAAGCTCTTTTATTGCTTCCATGATTCGCCATAGTCATGTTGCACTTACAATCCTTGAAGGGGGTGTTTTGGTTTTCATACTAGTACTATTCGACATGTACTAACGCCCTTTTTATAGGGGGCGCCGCATCTTTAATGAATGCAGGTGGTTCCACAACAGGTGGCTTTGATCAGTGATAGCGGTGCACCCTCTTTCCAACTGACTTGGTGAGCCCACTTCATTTCGGGGTCGTATATCTTTTGCTCCTTATACATTTAGTTTTGAGGTATAGCCAAGGCCTTATTGCCGGCACTATCATTGTACTCCTATGTATATATTAGAGGCTCCGTAGATATAGTGTGGGTAGTATATTGGTGTTGGGAAGGTCAAACTAGTGATGTTGTATTTGTACCACCTGTTCCACTTCAAACCATGAAAGTGTTTGTATTTTGAGACTTAAAAATGATATGACTAATGAAAATGAATTGATGTTGTTTACATTATCCTCCTCATTGTCTAACTAATGAAATGTATCTTCTCTTTATTCATGGGTGAGTTCGAATAGAATGCATTGTACAGGCTTGTTTGGCCGGGTTATCTCGGTTGAGCGCCGGTCGCGCTTTGCTTAATCTAACATCATTGATCACTTGTATTGAGCTAATCCACATATCCTTAAAACCGCGTATAAATTCAATTGTTATTCATTTTTAAGGGTAAACACATGTGTTTAAGTCCAAAATGCTTTTCTTCTCTCTAAAATCACAATTTTCTTTTAGTAAAATTTGTAAATCGAATTTCTAAGCAGTTTACCTCAACATCGACTTCATTTAACGTAAAATTGTTAGTCATGAAAAGTAAGCAAGGATAAAATTTAAATGGTTTGCCAAATTATTATTCTTTCGACATTAGAGAATTGCAAATAAGTGTGCTATATATGTAACTTTCATGTAAAATAACAAAAAACTCTGGACTTGTTCACCATATAGGTCCATATAAAACCAAACTGATTTCTCACACTGCAACAAAATTAGAAACTTTAATTTAGTTTGGCAGCGACCTTTTTAATGACTTTATTTAATTTCTCCAATAAAGACTTGAGTACTGCACCCCATCTCCAGAGGACATATTTTAATTTTGAATTTTCCTGTACGGGTGGTCCTGCGCCATTTATGATTATTATTAAATATTACTGATACAAAGATTATTAGACTAAAACTGAGATTCTAATGATGACGCACAAGAAAATACATCCATTTTTTTTAGCGGAAACGAGTACGACGATATTTAAAATATCAACCATATTATAATTAAATTTTGTGAGGTTGCTAGGCGGTGCGATGTATTAGAGTTAAGTATTCCGAAATTAATAATAAGTCCATTAACGAGTCATAAATTATTTTTAGCAAAGCCAAATTGGCTATTTTCAGAATCCAAAGTGAGGTAGGGAGGATGACATAGGCACAGGCGAATATTGCATGTGTATTCGCATTTCGTTGCTGTTTAAGATAATATTTTATTTCAATTACTGATTTAAAAAGTCTAAATTCATTTTGGACCGTCATGCGAGAGACTAAGTCTTTCTAATTATTGTTTCCTTTCCTCTTCTCCATAAAGTTGGTAGGTCCTTATTTTTGCAAAATAAAAAAAATAACTAATTTGAGCTAGGAGATCAAAATGTTTGTGTAAAATTGGATAAAATATAAGAAACATAAGCGTGGAGTAAATCATATTGCGTCTTATATGAGGGCCACATGATGACACTACTTAGGCCACGCCATTGTTAAATTACTACTCCCTCTTTTGACTAGACTAAAATAGATAAAAAGAGAGGAGAAAAAAAATAGCGACGCCGTAATTAAGATCAAAATCTACTAAAATAATAGTGTTTATTATTTATTTTTTCGGATAGAATTCCTGTTTTTAGAAGTAAATCCCACTAAACTAGACTTGTAGAGGCCAGCGGAGTCAAAGACCGAGCCTCAACCAACAAAGGAGGACAGCCAAAGAGATTTCACTAGGTCATAATTTTTTAGCATTCTAAACCTTTCATAGTACATGCAGCAAGAAACAACGCGTTTAATTAGATTTACTGACAAAGAAAGAAGATTAAATCTAAATATCAACTCCCCCTTAACTAAAATTAGTTTTAATTAACGAAATTCCCTCTACCATGTTAGTCAGTGAAATTAAACTGTTTTAGCTATTCAAATGCATCAAAGAACAGACATGGGTCAAGTATAAGAAACTTTCAAGTCAACAACTATATTTAAAGCAACAATCTTTTTCAAGTGCTAATAATTGACCTCGAATCATTACAGTACTTTAGCCTTACAATATATGTTGTTCGTTATGTTTCCAAGTTTCCCGTGCATCATATATATCAAAAAAACACTACAAATATGGCTAACTTTCCTTTCTTATTCCTTTCTTCTTAATTTATTTTACTCTATTTTCCTATTTGCTATGCGTGTCGCATAAAACAAGACTTCTTCAATTGTATCGATAGAGATGAAAGTTTTTCCTTTGATGGCAACAGAAACTAAACATAATAATACTCTGTTTGTTCGACTTTATATGACATTAGGGGAAATAGTGGTTATAGTCCCTCAGTTATTACCTATGGTTTTGATCTTTGTGATAATAGACTAAGCGCCATTTAACCTTTAATTAAATGAAGCATATAGTTTTAATCCTTTAACTTTTGATTCTTTTCTTATCAACTTGTGGCGGGCAATAACACTCGCACTTGTGAAACAAAGAGAAAACATTGTACTCCTATAGGTTAGAGATTACACCCCAAAAAGACAAGCCACAATTTCCATGCAATATGAGAATCTAAAATTCTAGAGAATGTCTTGCGATAAGTGAATTTTACCTTATTTAAAATATATAAATTTTCTCCGTAAAAACATATAAATTATCATGTTCTTTCCTCAATTTTAAGTAGTTTATGCAGGAAAGATTATATAAGAAGTGTTGCAAAATCAAGAAATATTTCAAGAAAAAGCACATTAAATTAAGTAGAAAGAAGAGTATATGTTGTGATAAAGTAAATAAAATAAGGTGACCTAAGGAATAGAGTGCACACAAATCTGGTCTACCATGACAAAGATAACGGATAACAACAACCCATAACCGGCCACATCCGATCAT